CCCCAAAACCCCAAAACCCCAAAACCCCTTTTGCATTATATGATTTTGATGATTATAAAATGAATATTGCCCTTCTTTGTTAAAAAGACTATAGTTATTACTACCAAGTTGACCAACCTTGTCTGAGACCTCAGATTATGAGTGGCCTTACGATCTAACAATCTTCAACAGAAGATTCTAGCACTGCTAGTGTCTAGGTTTAGGATATTTTAAGATTCATTAGGTCATTGAGAAAAGAAAATTGGGTACTTGTAGTAATCATACAACCTCAACCATTGGTGCCTCGTATTTATACTGCGGCTACTTGTGATTAAAATAAACATTTAGAGCAAGAATTGGACAAAAATGATGAATTTTTTACTTTTAGCCTTAATTCACATCTGGAGTAAGAGTAATATTTATCGTTGCCTAAGAATTATAAAGACAAATTATAACGATCCTTATCCACACTAGATTTTACTTTTAGATAGCTCCTCAACCCATGACAGCTGAAAAAATCCTTTTTCAAGAGGACATCTGAAAGGTTTAATTTATACTGATAAATTTAAAAGGTGTAGAATGCTAGATAGCGAGATTTTACGGTAGCAAGCATACATTATAGCGATACTATAAACCCCTCTTTTAAGGAAATATTTTAACATGGAGGTAGCTTAAGAAGCTAGATAATTCATTAAACTCTTTACTTTAGTCTTTATCCTGACTCCACAAGCGATGCTTTAATCATGAATTAACAATCTGCTTAAAATATCAAAAATTTATTCGTATAAAATAGATAGCATTCCTTTGGCAAATAATTTCAGATAAACCCTAAATTTATGGATGAGCACTCCTCAACCTAACAAGCTTGCAATGGCTCTATATCTTAGCAAGATTAATTAGGCAAGTATACCTCTCCTTCACAGACCAGATTTAAGTGTTGTCGTGAAACAGTATTTCCATAGGACTTCCCTGTTCTTTGAACACTTGTTTTCAGAAATAATAAAGGAATAAATTTTAGCATTTTGAACAAGTCTTACTATTGAAAATATAGAAGGAGGGATCTAGGATAAATTTTGACACCTCTAATTTGATATATCTGTTGACAACCCTCTTTATAAATATTCCCGAAGTTGGGAGAAAGACTATATGGCTTAACTCAAGAAATGAAGCTGAAATTTGACAAATATTCCTCTTTTACTTATATGTCTCGGCATAGTCCAAAAAGCATTTTGAAAATCTTCATTTGAAGCTTTTAGAACCATTATTTCTTTATCTAAATGCTATTCTTAGTCAAAAGGAATCTCATTGGTTCTAGTTTTAGCTAGCACTTATTGTGACTCTTAGGCATGAGCTGCTAATCTAAGCCTACATATTTTGAATGTTTCAATTTGCAAGCCGTACTGGGATATTAGTGATAATGTACTCTTATGCCAAGACTTAAGAAATGCAGTAAACCTAAAACAGGATACTTAGTTTGTACCCAAGTCTTTTGGCTCAGTAAGCTCTTTGGTTTTCTGAAGATGAACCTAGCATCTGCCACTCATCATTCTTAAGGAATAAAGAATGTTTTCCTTGTTTTCATAATTCATGGAGTCTTATTTTTTAAGGAAAAAAATAGAAAATTATTATAAACACAGACGAGATAATATTTTAAGCTTATACTGAAAGTTCTGATCCTTTATCATGGCCAAGAGGATATTTGAGCAAAGACCAAGGGGCTATATGTAGCATACAAGTTTGAGTGTAGCAATGAAAATTTCTTAGCATATTTATCAAAATCTGATATTTTAATGTCACTTCAGACTACTTAAATAGAAGGTAATTAAGTGGAAATAGCTAAATTTTTTCAGAAATCGATCTTAATAAGCTCTCTTAAACCATCTGTAAGCCGATTCATAATTTAAAAAATTTGTGTATATAGACTTTGAAATATCACTTAAAGTTTATGCTAAATATTAAATAAATTTTCATTATATGAAGCCTCCTACCCTCAAAATTAGGAACAGCTGTATTACACAAATTGTGTCCTTTACCGAACTATGCTGGCTATTTTTAATCACACCGCTTCCTAGGATATATTTTGCTAGTCCTGAACACTTATAGTATTCTAAAGATGATAAGAGCTTAAAAAGCTATGATTTAGTGGAATAAATTGATATCCTAAAATCAGAGAAAGTTCCATACCTCATTTAATTTCATAGATTATTGTCATATTTATGCAGTCACTCCTATTAATTTTCAGCTTCTGCCTTACAGTTAAGATATAGCCAGAGAGATTAAAAATATTCAGAAAAACTCTTTGTGAAATCTGGGGCTCTGAGTGCTGATGGCATATTGGGGTATTATAATTTCCATATAAATGTAGGAAATCAGTAGTCTCAGAACATTCTTTTCGTAACTCCTTAAAGAGTTGCCCAGACATGGCTTCAAGCCAGATCAGCATAATAGCCTTGTTGGAGACTATTGTTTCTATCATATTTTGAAAATTCGCAACTAGATTTTAGCGAGAACTCTATTTAATTATCAAGAACAAGGTAGCTATATTTTCATCATTTTTGGGTGGCCTACTGAACAACTCTTAAGAATAGGATCTAGCTGAATTTCTTTTTAAGATTTGCATTACTCTGCGCAGAACACCTGCTCTGAGTAATTTAATTTTTAGAAGAACTCCATTGGACGGTGGGGGTTTATCAATAGTGTCGTAAGCATAGGTCTATTATAAACCAGGAAATGTTCTATTCATGAATGAAAAATCCATAATTCCTTTTTAACATTTAAGATTTTACCTTCGCCTAAACAAGTGAGCTTAATGTATACTCTCTTTTATATATCAACATTTATGAGTCTTAAGAAGTTCGGCCTACCTCTGATCGATTTGAAAGAACTTCAATTGTCAAAAATTAATAATTCTTTTCGAGGAATGTTAGAAATTCCTAGTTATCAAGACCCTAATCCTTTAATGAATCTCAAAATTTGGTGAGCAATTAATAAAAAGATGCTCAATGGTCTAGAGTTTAAGCCATAAATAAGCCAGGCAAGATACGCCTAAGTTTATGCCTCCCAAATGCTAATGGTTCAGAAGAAATTATTAAGTTATTTTTATTATGTAATTAGAATTTTAAAGTCTTTACTGAGCCTTATTGAGAGAAGAATTCAAAATGATCCTTTAAATTACTAAGAATTATTTTAATTTATACAAATTTTCTGACTTTGTGAGCAGATTTCTGGACACTTTCTTATCCTACGGCCTATCTTAGATGTACGAGGAGAGTCCCATCTTCTACTATTTAAAGAGTAGTTTATTAAGACAATTTATACAATTAAAATAAAAAATGGATATTATTTCTTTACTTTCCTGTAAAGGGAACGACTTGAGTACCACTAGTGATAAACTGGCTTTTGTGAAGCCAACCGAATTTCCAACATTTGGAGAATCTTCGATAGCTGAGCTTGCCATATCCTATTGCTTGTGTGACTATGACATGCTATGTTATTGACACTGAGAGACACCAACCTCATTTACCCCTTCAAGCTTTGAGTTTAAATCTTTATTCAATACCAGTCTTCAAGAGTATCCAGAATTCCAAAATCAAAGTAGGGATAACAACTCTACAAGAATGTCATCAAGAGGAGATAGGACAATTTATCTCCAGTCAAAATTAGCTAGACTGTATCAATACTTAGAGAACATTGATGATCCCTTCAAAACTCTTGTGTTCAGAAAACCCAAAGCGAACTGTAGAACTACAAATACCAGCACAAGAAGGTCTCGCTACATCGGAGTTTTCAAGAATGGTTTGAAGTGGCAAGCCCTTATCAATATCGGTAGCAAGAAGACCTACATTAGCACCTACTCAACTCAAGAAGAGGCAGCCAGAGTCTTTGATTTGATGTCCTTACTCTTGAATAGAATGCAGGCAGTAACGAACTACAATTACTCGAAGGAAGATATTTTTTCACTGTTCTCTGAGTATTCAGACATAGTGAATAAATTTTGCTCATAATCGATTTCAATAGTGATATTAGCCTACGGGGTTTTGGGGTTTTGGGGTTTTGGGG